GGGCCCGGCGGGCCGGGCTGCGGGAGGTTCGCTGCTGGGCGGTCTGAAGCAGCGCACCCTCAAAAAGCCGTTTAATAGGTGGTAAACTGGGCTGTGGGGTTTGGGGGTTTTCCCCTTAAATTCACATTCAGTAACTTGAATAAAGGGGCCCGGCTTATAAATCCTGCACCTGGCAAATCCTCACCTCGAAGCGTAATTAATATATGGCACGCGTGATCCTTTTTTTGCAGCTCTTGAGAACTTCACGCTTCGTGCAGTAAAAGCGGTTGTAGAAGAAGTGTCACTAAACTGCGCGCACTCAAGTGCTGCCCTGCCCTTTAAAACAGTTCCTTTATGCTGAGCATTAAATAAACACTCGAGTAGCCAGGTCCTCCTTCCGGAAGAGCTCGTCGTTAACCGGCTTTCGGACGTCCAAGTGGATTTCAGATTTCATCATCGAAGCGTGCGAGATGTAGGCTCTCTGGGTCCCAGCCACTCTCCCAGCGCTAATTATGTAGCCAGCTCAGAGTTATTTCAGGCCTTCCAAAAGCTGTAGTAATCCAAAGCCTGTGTGAGATCACACTGTCCCAGCTGGTCTGCTGAGGACTTCTCACGCTTTGAGGATGCTGTGGTCTGAGGGAGGTCCAGCTTGTGCAGCTTGCACTTTTCTTGTCTGTATTCGGAATTTTTACTGGTGTAGCTTCAGGGTTTGTTGAGAGCTAAATCCCAGCTGTGTGTTTAAGCTTTGGTTTTGATTAAAATTAGCAAATTTGTAACAAAGGAGGAAGAAAAGCAGCTCCTTACAGGAGATTTGGAAAGTAAATAGCCTTGAAAAGCCATTTTCTGTTCATTCATCAGTAATTTTTATGCATTTTACAGTAGGTGACACAGCACATGTTTTGCCTCTGGTGCAGATAAATGAGTGTAAAAAGCCATCTCCTGAGAGCATAATCTAAATTACACAAAAGTTCAGGTTAGAAAGGGCTTCTGGAAGCCATTTGGTCCAGCTTTCTGTTCGGAGCTGGTCCCACTCAGAACTGGATGAGGTTGCTGAGCCCCCTTTCCAATCGGGTTCCAGAAATTTCTGACGATGCAGACCCCTCAGTCTGCCAGCACAGTTGTTCCAGCACGTGAACACTCTCATTGGGAAAATGCTTCCCCTTAGATCCAGCTGCCGTTTCTCCTCTCGCATTTTGTAGTTGGTGTCTCTTCTCCTTTCGCTGTGCTCCTCTGAGGGGAGCGTGTCTCTGTCTTCTGTGTTGTGACCCTCTATATAGCGAAGGACAGTGCTTGGACCCCATCTCAGCCCTTCCCCACCGAGTCCCTCTGCCCCACTCACCCTGCTCTGACCAAACCCAGCTCCCTGCGCTTCCTGTGCGCTGTGTGCCGCAGCTGCCAGGCACGGTAGTCTGCCTGAAGCCTTCTCCCTTTTCTCTACATCTCTCTCGCACCACGTCCGGCTGTGGATACCCCAGCAGGTCTGATGCGGCCTCACGATCGCAGAGTGGAGGGGAGTTACCGCTGCGATTAGCCATGCTCGTCACAGCGTGCTGCTGAGCTTCAGGCCTGCCCGCTTCTTCTGAGAGTGTGCACCGAGTGCTCTAACAGCCCTAGGGGATATCACCTGCTATCTCAAGTGTACTATTTTTTTTTTTTGGAGTTCTTGCTCTGAAATGGACTTGTTCCAAGCAATTGCTCTGGATGCAGCAGGCAGTCTCGTTGATGTGAATAGAGCGCAGCTACAGCAAAATTTACTGCCTTCGTCCAAAGTGTCTTTTATCAGTGCCATACTTCAGTTTTTTCAACTGTTGTTCCGAGTATATGAATCATGTATTTTCTGTCTGTTGTATGAAAATTTAATCGTATTTCTAGACTAGCCAAGGAAGAGAAGGCTGTCTCTGAGCATGATTTGTAGATTTGGGAGGCTTGTCTCCTCTGTATATACCAAAACTGGAGCAAAAGAACACTGTGTGTCTGCGTGGTTTACAGGATTAAAAAAAAAAATAATCCATAAATGTCCTTCATCTAAGAACTGTCACTGGCAACAAAGCCGATTTGTGGCACGTAACGCCCACTTCAGTAGCCAGACAGCCCAGTTGTCTGGCCTGGTTAAGCCTCCAGCAGCCCATCTGTTTCAAAATTCTGTCTTCTAAGCTACAGTTTACAGGTGTTTTCAGAAGTTGTATCATTTCAACTGCTAACATAGTTTTCAACCTCAAGTATTCTTTTTAACTGGTAGCTTTTCTACCCTCTGCTGCTGTTGTTTATTAACCAACCTGTGCTGATTTTCTTTTGGGCAGAGGAGTGGAGGTATCGTTCAGCTGTCACAAAGCAATTGCCTGTTTCAAGTGTTATTTTAAGCTGGGAGGGCAAGCTGGGGAAAGATTGACTAGGGAAAGTTGTGATCTGTGCAATTATGGTGAGTTTGTTATTGATAGAAAAGGTTATCCACAGTGGTGTCTTCCCTGTAGAAATCGATTACACTTAATTTCTTTCTTCTTGTGTAGGAATGAGCTTTCAGTAGACAAAACTAAAAAGAAGAAAAGAAGAGAACTGACTGAGGAACAGAAGCAAGAAATTAAAGATGCCTTTGAGTTGTTTGATACAGACAAAGATAGAGCAATAAATTATCATGAGTTAAAGGTAAAAGTGTTTTTTCATTTAAACAGTTTCATGGCAGATAATACAGATCTGTTTCCTAATGAGTTTTTAACATGTTGGCTGTGTCTTTAAAAAAGCTATTGGCAAATGGAGGTTAGCATGGCAGTCTTTCCTAGAGAGTCTACCCATCTGGAAGTCTCTACAAGTAGTACATGAAGTTTATTTAAGTCTCTTTAAATTTTTAATGATTTTTTATTCTAATTGTACTGCATCAAGAAACAAAAGTAGCTTTGGAGAGGCCAGTGTTTCTGTCACATATTGGGTGAGATTTTTTGGGGGAGGAATCCCTAACCCAACCTGCTGGCTCCACATTCTGATTCTACCAACTATCTCAAAGAGAGGAAAAAAAAAAGTCTATTTTTACTTTAATTGCTGTTAGGGGAATATCTTAGGCGTAGCAACTCCATTCTCTGGTCCCTTCTCTTTATTTCAAAGTTCAGATATTTTATTTTTGCTGGAAGCCACAGTGAGTGGGGTAGTACTGGGGTCTGTTTCAGGACTCTTAATACGCTTTTTCCAGTTATGGTGTGCTTTGAATTCCCAGCTGTCATGATTACTTGCAAAGCTGTTTCTTAGCTGTCTAATTAAATACTGTGGCCATGAAGATAATACTATGGAAGAACAGAAATATATAAAGAAAAGAACTATCTCCGTCTCTACAAAATTGGCATAGAGCGTAGGTTTTTGTGCGCCTGCATCCATTAGGGCTGTGGCTTTCCCCTTCTGGTTCCATTTTCATCCATTTGGATGAAGTCAAGGTAGTGTGTGCTGAGAACTGCCAGTTGTAATGGGAAGACTAAACATGTGCTCCTAACCTAATGGTAAAAAAAAAAATGGGTTGGTGTACACTGTTCACTGGAAAAGCAGCAAAGTCACTTGTAAGAGGACTTGTAAACCCATGAACATACACGCACTTAGTATGAATACCGAAAAATAATAAATTGAAGAAAGGTTTTTAGTCTTATCTTTGAAAAAGGGTCAGTACTTGAGACGTTTTTGGAAGTGAGGAAAGTAAATCTGCTGGGCCTAAGAAGCACTGTGTCCAGTCTGTAAAACCCCTGAAAATGCAAAGGCTTGTTTTTTCACTGTAACTTGATGTTCCATTTGTTAATAGCAGTTTTAGGCAATTTTTATATCCAAAACTTTTTTCCTTTTATTAATTTCATTTATTATTGTTGCTAAACCACTGTTATGCACCTTCTCTCTTGGGCAAGAAAGTAATTACTGAAATGAAAAAGAAATCTGTTAAAACTTTGTATTACATCTTCATATATGGTTGCACTTCCATTTTATTCCAAAAGGTGGCAATGAGAGCCTTGGGTTTTGATGTGAAAAAAGCTGATGTACTGAAAATACTTAAAGATTATGATCGAGAAGCAACAGGCAAGATCACCTTTGAAGACTTTAATGAAGTTGGTATGTGTTTGATTGTGTACCTTTAGAGAAATTTGGCCTATAGTAGTGACTACGAATTGGAAGCAGTACTTTGTCTACGTTTTCAGTTATGTAGTACTATTAAGACATAGAAATGGGAGATTTAGTCTCATATTTTTCTTAATAGAAGTCAATAGTGGAGGAAAAGAAATTTTTATATTCTGAATATTCAGTTTGGTATATAGAGATGAATGATAGCCCCAGTATAGAAGGAAATAGAGTATACACAGTCCTAATAATTTTCAAACTTACACAAAGGAGTAAGTGCTAACTTAAAATGTAGACATTCTTGCGTTGTTTACGGATTTTGCAAAATTCTCCTTCCTGCTGTGGAAAAAGTATTTGGCATTGAATTTCATGGGAAGGAGTGCGTACACTGACAAACCTTGAACAGAATGCAGACTTCATGTATAACAAAGAGAAGAGAAACTGAAGCAGATCTTAAATACTGTGCTTCAGGGATTTCCAACTGTTGATAAAAACAATAGAATTTTGCTAGGCTGTTTCTTTCATCTGGAGATTGTGTATTGTGTAGTTTGGCGTACTTGGAGTATATAGTGATGTGCAGAATTTTTAAAGAGTAAGTTTATTTGAATATTTTTTGGTTGTTACATAGAATTTATACTTTTGCATACAATGTGCGTTTACAAAAAATAATAGGCTGCCTGGGATTTCTCCCATGTATGGCTTGATATCTCTGTTTCATTTTTCCAGTCCATGTGTTCAAGGCATTAGATTGCTGTAAATTTTCTGAAGGAAAAAAAAAACAACCCACCCCAGTGTAGTACCATGTGTGTTTGCTGTTGGCTACGAATAACAATCTACTTAGTGTGGCAAAACAGTTACTGATTGAAATGTGGCAAACTGTAATGATTTAACGGGTTAGGATTGGACAAAACATGTTTTTAATGACAGATAGTATTTTTGTAGTTGTATTCCAGGTTAGAGCAAATTATAAGTCAGAAAAGAACCAAATAATAAATCTTGTGGGGAAATACACGTGATCAGTCTTGATTTAATCAAAAAAAGTGAGAGTATTGCTTTAATAGCACCAATAATACTATAATTGTGTCATTATGGTATAATATTATGTAACTGAGTATACTACAGTCACTGTGTAATTCTTTCTTAATTCCCAGTGTTCAATCCTGGCATTGTTCCTTGTTTTCTGGTTCAGTCCTGGCTGTCAGTATGGGCAATCAGTAAGCATTGTGAGAAGCCAGGAAAATTCTTGTAGAAACCACAGTATATACTTGGAAGGCTATCAAACCTGTCCCAAAACTTTAGTCAGATTTGAGTGTTGGTATGACATGATGTGATCTTGACATAGAATTAAACATGATACCACTTCTAGCAGACAGATCAGGGAGTCACAGAAAATAGGTTATAGAAGCTTTAATTGTGAAGAGCTGCCACATACAGCTATGCAATTCTTGAGCCATCAATTTTTCATAATTTAATGGTTTTTATGGTTTTAGATGCAGGAATGGCCCATCTGAAATGTATAAAGATGCAATTACACTTTGTCTTGTTTTGTACAGTAACGTTATTTATAGTATTTAGAGACTTAGTGTTTTACTGCTCTTCTACTAACATTGCAGTTGTCATTTAGCCACAAAAGGTAGAATTTTTCATATTATGTAATACTGTCATGCAGCGTAGTTGTTCTAAATGAAAATATTGAACTTCAGCATAAATCTGAGGGATTTTTGTAGACATACAAAGTTCACTGCTGTAGCGAGCTTATGTGAGCTTGAGTCTAATTTTTTCCTGTCAAGTTTGCTGAGCCAGAGCAGGCGTTCCGTCTGCAGACAGCAGCAGATGCTGAGTGGTTCTCTATGCACAAACAGGGTGGATGTGTTTTTAAGGGCTCGATGAAAGTCATAAATAGCAAGTCATGTACTACAAGACTAGCAGGTACAAAGATGTGAAGATGTTTATGGCCAGTTCCAGAAATGTGGCAAGTTTGTCTTTTCTGTTGCAGAAACTGACAAATGGGTGTGATAAAAGGAAAAATGAAGGCTGATGAATCCTTTCAGAATTAATGTCTTGCAGTTCGTGGTAGTGTCCTTTTCATAACCCCTGGGCTTAGATTGTGGGGTTTTTTTTTGTCAGTTGCTTTTTGTATCTAAAAGAGAGATTGCATGTGAGTGTCTTTCATGACAGTGTTTCAATGTTTTCTTTAAGTCAAAATTCTGTCCTGGTCAAAACACATAAAAAAATTCATATGTCTTCATCTGTCAGAGCTGATTTTTTTTCTGAGAGGTAAGTTTGGAAAAGAGTAAGCATGTGTGTACTTTTAATTCCTAGTGAAAAGCATGAGTGTGTCTAAATTTCCACATAGCTTTCCACTGCAACAGGTTTGTCCCAAATTGAAACTTAGCTTGGGAAAAGAGAGATGAATAAGAGAGGTCAGATAACAGCAGAATAAATATGCACAGTGAATTGAAATATATAAAAATGAAAGAACAGGTGAAATCGGGAGTGTATGTTCTTCATGTTGCCTCACTCTGGCAAGGTCATTCTGACTTTACCCTGCAGGATTCTTTCGTCTGACTTAAGTATCCTTCTTACAGTGACAGACTGGATATTGGACAGAGACCCCCAGGAAGAAATACTCAAGGCATTCAAGTTGTTTGATGATGATGACTCTGGTAAAATAAGTTTGAGAAACCTGCGCCGGGTTGCTAGAGAATTGGGTGAAAATATGTCAGATGAAGAACTACGGGCTATGATTGAAGAATTTGATAAGGATGGAGATGGAGAAAGTACGTGTTGGCAAGCAAAAACCATACAGTCTGTTTTTAATTTTCTTCCCTTTTTAAATGTAGTTTTGTTGTGAAAATGTCCTCTTTCGTTTCTTTCTAAATAACTTGCAGCTCAAACTTAATTTAGCCTACAAATAGTGGGAATAGTGGTTTATGACAGCTGCTAGTCCTGGAAACACATCCTGGAGTCTAAAATCAAGTTGATTCACCACCAATTCTTGTTCAGCCAATTTCTGTGGAAAGGTTGGTGAAAGTGTAGTTGAAGGTGGAAGTAACTGAACTGGTACATGGGAGATTCCATGTACCTACATTACCTTTTTATTTCCGTATAAATCAGTAAAAGGATTAAAGTGCTAAGGGAAAGTCTTCTGATCACCTAGTCAATATTTCTTAAGTGGCGATGTGTCACTGTTGAGATTTCAGCATGTTAATCAGATCGGAGTATGAAGCTAGGAAATCGTGCAGGATGTACCCTGGCTCTGTGCAGGATCAGCTCGGATGGGTCTCTGACGTGCTTCTGAACTTAAGAGTGCGGGGGAACACAGTGTGAAAAATGGTTCTGGGCAATTGACAAGGTCCATACAGAGTGGGTTGTGGAAGGGATTTATTATCTAGAGAAGAGAGTGCATTAGCAAATCCAGTTTGATGTTATGCTTGTTAAATCTTCATGGACGCTGGAACTTAGGGTTTCTTCATTAACTTGAAAACACTATGTTTACACCAAAAGCCTTAACATCTGAGTTTCAGGGACCACTCACTTGAGACCGTGTACATAAACAGTGCATGTTTAACAGTCATCAAAACCTACTTTTTTTTTTTTTTCTGATTCTTCATTAACTTGAAAACACTATGTTTACACCAAAAGCCTTAACATCTGAGTTTCAGGGACCACTCACTTGAGACCGTGTACATAAACAGTGCATGTTTAACAGTCATCAAAACCTACTTTTTTTTTTTTTCTGAGTTTTTCTTCGAGGATGGTGACTGGTGTCTGAGATTTCACTAGCAGCTCTTCCAGTTACAGTAGTATTTCTACTTAGGAGCCATCACATCTGTTGGACTCAAAACTCTCATTACTAGTGGAAAAAAAAATTGTGGTGATGTCAGCCTTGTGACAGCCACTCCTCCCCTCTATGCTGTTTGAGGTAGATGTTATTCCACACTTGGGAATACATCTACTCAAGTACCAAAACAACCCGTTTTCTTCAAGGGGAAGAGCAGGACATTTTAACATCTCAGTGTGTGGAAATGCAAATCTTTGGTTCCGTTGTAGCGGTGTAAATAGGGAGCCTGGAGACAACAGAAGGGCCGTGATTCAACTGCCAGAAGAGTGTTAATGTTGATGCTGTTATTATTAAAGTAAATGTTGAGAGAAGTGTGTGATTTCTTTCCTTCTGGAGCTATTGTTTTCTGATGCCTTTCTGCAGTCTTAGGCCATGGTTCCTTAATAAATCCCTACTGCATAATTCAGATGTTCCCTCATGCTCCCAGCTGTGTCATCCCAGCCGTTTCTTGCACTGGCAGTATCTGATCCCACAGGTGAGATCTTTAAGGGCGCTAAGCCAGGAGAAAACTTACTCATTTAGGTTTTTAAGTGTTGCTTTTTTGCTGCTTAGATCCCTGAACTGTCTCTCTGCTTGATCAGATTTTCTTGGAGCTGCATCCTGAGAAAATAGATTTTGTTTTTTTCTCAGTGTTTCCTGTAGGATAATTGAAGCAGGTCAGTATAGCGAAAGCTGCAAGTCCTGTTTTCAGGCAGCAATCTGTGTGCAGTGACACAGGATGGCAGCTGTGAATTCTGGTAGACAATGGGAAACCTGTTTACTTCCTTTTCAGTAGCTGTACAGCAGACAAGGAGCAATGCCTGTTTTCTCAATCCATTAGACTGAGTACTAGCCTAGGTAGATGCTTTCAATTTTGAGCATGTTGTGCTTTTGAGAGGAAGAGTTGTAAGGACAATGCGCTGCTAGCTTTACTTTTATTTTACACATTTTGTTCTGTGTTGCTCTCCTGGAGCTGTCAAACGACGTGTCAGAATCATGGATGGTTTTCTGTCCTGTCACTGTTTGGTCACTGCAAATTGAATGTAGACAGCTTCTTTCAGGAAGGTTGCTGAGTCATAATTATTTTGGGTCAGTGCTACATTTTTCATTTCAAATTGATCAGCTGAGAGTGGGTGGCTGAGTTTCCTCTTCTTCATTCATCCATTCATTCTCTTTGTTAGAGCAGTCATGCACCAGATCGAATATGGAGGACTGACAGCTAAGGTTTGTATATGGTGCTGTTTATCCATAAGGTTCTGTGTGTTTTCTGATCTTTAAAGAAAACTGATGCCGTTTCTAGCTTTTTAAAATTCATTCTGAAAAAGTAAATAATCCTATGAATCACTGCTCCGTTTAACTTCAAACATCTGGGTCGTACAGCAAAATCTTGCTGTCATCTAATTCTCCTTCTTTTCCTGCCAAAAAAAAAAAATGAAGCTGTTAGTTGGTAGCCTTTTCAATTGATACTTCAAACAGAGGAATAATACCACTTGTGGTTGAACACCCTTCTTACATTTGAGAGATTGTTTTGCTCATAGTGAAATAAGGTCTGTTGTGTGATACCCAGGCTACTTGAGCTCTTGTGTTTCCAGCAAAACCACTGAGCTGGACTGGTACACTGTATGTGAGTTTCTGTAGAAGAAAGTATTTGTGACATATTTCTGTCTGCCTTAAAAACGTAAAGTAGTCTTATTTTCATATTCACGGTCTTAGGAATGACTTCTGTTTTGGAGTATGACTGTTTTTAGAAGCTCCATGCTATTAGTTCATGCAGTTTCTGTCATCTTGTGTGGATGCATTTTAAGGAAACACGATCCAGTTTTAGGTCTCAGATTTTGGTACAGAATTGGGAAAAAAAATCTCCACTGAAATAATATGCTCCTTTATCTCTCCAGAGTCCAAGTCAGTGTTTTCTTCGTATTAGCTGTGATACTAGTTCATTCTTTTATGGATCATTTATGTCATAGAGTTGAGGGAAATCTGATGCTAGGAAAGCCTATGATTGCTTCTGTTTTCATTATGCTTAACTCGTGAACAGATCCGAAGTCTGAGGATGCCTAGCTGGGATTAACTGGGTCACTGGCAACTGTACCTACTCTTCTCTTTGCAGTTTGTTTGAATGTTACAGAGTTTGCTTGTTGTTATAATACTGTATTTCCACTTTGCAGCTTTGTTTGACAAAGCATTGTTTTAAACCAGAGAATAGTTGGGGGAAGATGTTTGTGCTGTTATTGTGCTGTTACTGTAATAAAGCTATGGAAATGCTTTTTAAAGTCATACAGACAACATAGTGCTTATGTGTAGTAGAACACAATGTAGCTGCGTGTTGGACTGGTATTTCAGAGTGTAGGGTCCCAAGCTAGACTAACTCTACGTGTTTCATATTTTTTTGAAATGTGTCGCAATACGGCAGGTGTAGGCTTTTTTTTTTTTACTCTTTGACATAGTCGAATTTGCTTAATTTTCTTCTAGCTGTAAATGTAGCTCTTGCTGTGTAGTGCTTTGTTTAGGAATAGCTTGGGCACGTTGGCTGGGACAGATAATTGTCAGGGAGAATTCTTCGTACGTGTCTGGTCTTTTCCATACCACTTACTTATCCTAATTGTTCCCCATAACAGTAATTAGTTGTAGAGTGAACATGTTCATTGGTTAACTCTGTTACAGTGACTCTGTTCTAACATATGAGTAAGGTCAATAGCTCAGGTATAAGTGCAGCGAAATAATTACTGTCTGCTGATTAATTTATTATTATGACTTAATTTCTTCAAGTACATTTGTGTAAAATTTCTGTTAATTATAGCTGAAGAATGAAGAACGTTCAGATGTGGCAAAGCTTGTCAAAAGCCCATTTTAATTCTAGCTAATTTATGGAATCATTAGTAAAGGATCTTAAAATTCATTTTGTACTTGGCAAGTGCTACAGGTTTGAGAGAGAGAGGAATACCGTGGTTTTGGAGACACGGGAGGTTTAGACGTAAATGTCCAAATAATGATTTTAGGATTAAAACCAGATTTGATCATAAATGGAGCTGCAGCATTGTTGCTTGAGAAGCACTTATTTAATAAAACTTACCTACCATTTTAAACGTTTTCATAAGTCTTAAAAAATCATAAAGTATTATGTTTTTGCATAGCCATCTTTTTGCATACTTTTCTGTGCTTTTTCGATTTTGTTTTACTTTTAGAATATTCTTACTTTCATAATTAGAAATAATAGCTTGTTATATGTGAGTTAGATCCTAGCCTAAGCATTCCACATAATTAAGCTTGCATTCTGACTTTTCTTTTTACATGAAAAAAGAAAAAGTGCAAGATCTCTATTCTAGAAGCAAAAAAGTCCAAACTTTTAAACCTTGATTAGTAATGGATCAGACACAATGAATAATACTAACTGGGACACCTTTAAGAAAAAAGTGTAATACAGATATGCATTATTTTCTTGTATGGTTTATGGATGTTTGCTGTTTGACTGATGATTTTCTCTTTTTCTACAGTCAGTCAAGAAGAGTTCATTGCTATTATGACTGGAGATATTTAGCATCAGAAGAAGAGAAGTTAACTCAGCACAAAAGGGAGGAATCATTGGCAGCTTCCATTACACTGTTTTGTACTTCCATTCATTTCTGTAGCTGGAGTGATGCAGAAAATTGCTTTCCTCACAGGACCAAAATAAAGACAGGTTATATACACTGATAGTTCAGTATTTCATATCGTTAAATATTCTCACTAGAATAATTGATATATCATTTTAGAACAAGTAAGTAATGCTGCCTTTCAGAATGTTCGAGTACTCATTTGTAAAATAGCTTTGTATAGGATTTCTAAATTATAGCATATTATAAGAACCTTACGAGGTTGACTTTGTGTTAGCATTAGCTGTGGCCTTAGTTTTGATACATAAGGTTTGACAAACTTCCATTTTAATAAAATGTACTTTACTATTGCTACTTCAAAGTCTTGTTTTTGTAGTTTAATCTGAACTGAACTATAGAGTAAAATCCTTCAGGGAAAACATTTTTTTTTTCATTTATGAGATTGTGCTTCCGCTGGTCTAGAGCGTATAATCATAGGGTGGTTTGGGTTGGAAGGCACCTTGTAGACCATCTAATTGCAACCCCCCTGCCATGGGCAGGGACCCCTTTCACCAGCCCAGGCTGCTCCAAGCCCCGTCCAACCTGGCCTTGAGCACTGCCCCGGAGAGGGCAGCTTCTCTGGGCAACCTGGGCCAGGGCCTCACCACCCTCACAGTGAAGAATTTCTTCCTAAATCTAATCTACACCTGCCCTTTTCAGTGT